CGCAGGGAAGGGGCGGAATGGGTCAGGGCTGTGGGCAGAAAGGGGAGGGGAGATGGGAAAGGGACAGAAGAGAGTGGGGCCATGGGCGGGGCCATAAGCAGAAGGGGTGGAACCGCAGGCAGAAGAGGTGGGGTGGGGACAACTTTCTGGACCCGGGGCCCCCCCACTTGCTCTGGCCCAGGGCCCCAGGCGACCTTAATCTGCATCTGGACATTGATGTGAGTATGGAAGACACCTGTGCGTGATTTCTTTGAATGTGGAGACAGGGGCGACGGACACTCCAAAAAGCGGGGAGGCCACTGGTGCGTGAACCATGGCCCCACCCTCATGCTGCCCTTTCCCCTGAGCCCCCACCCCCACACCACCCTTCCCCCGGAGCCCTCGTGCTGCTCATTCCCCCCCGAGGCCCCGCCCTCGCACCGCCTCTACTCCCCAACACCCTGCCCCCCACTCGCACCTCTCCACCTCCTCCCCCCGTCGTTCGCCCTTATGGCCAGTAAAAAGTGGGAAGGCCCCTGCTTGGAGATGCTGTTGCACACCAGGGTCCACAAGGTGCTTGGTAGGATGTGGCTCTTCATCCAAACGCCAGGAAACCGAGGCGATTGGAGATCGCCATCCTGCTGCAGCCTTCATCCGCCTTCACAGACATTGAGAGAAATCGTCTCTTTGTCCGCCTGCTCCGCCGCTGGGGAGTTATGGGAAACCCAAACCCTCCAGCGCCTGAAATGGAGGCGCCCAACAAAGACGACAGGAAATGGAGAAATGGGAAAGGAGGAAAGAACGCTGTGCAGCCTGATTCAATAATCCGGGTCCACCCCTTCCACTGGGAGCCGTCTGCCCCAATGTGATAAGATCTGTGGATCCCAGATTGGTTTTACTGGCCTCCTGCAGATCCACATCTGTCATAACTATAAAGGGAAGGGTAATAGCTGTCCTGTGTACAATACTATAAAATCCCTCCTGGCCAGAGACTCCAAAATCCTTTTCCCGGTAAAGGGTTAAGAAGCTCAGGTAACGTGGCTGACACCTGATCCAAAGGACCAATAAGGGGACAAGATACTTTCAAATCTTGGTGGGGGGAAGGCTTTTGTTTGTGTTCTTTGTTTTGGGGGTTGTTCCCTCTTGGGACTAAGAGGGACCAGACATCAATCCAGGCTCTCCAAATCTTCTGAACAAGTCTCTCATATTTCAAACTTGTAAGTAACAGCCAGGCAAGGCATGTTAGGTTTATCTTTGTTTTCTCAACTTGTAAATGTTCCTTTTGCTAGAGTGTTCATCTCTGTTTGCTGTAGCTTTGAACTTAAGGCTAGAGGGGGTTCCTCTGGGCTCTTTGAATCTGATTACCCGGTAAAGTTATTTTCCATCCTGATTTTACAGAGATGATTTTTACCTTTCTTTCTTTAATTAAAAGCCTTCTTTTTAAAGAACCTGATTGATTTTTCCTTGTTTTAAGATCCAAGGGGTTTTGGATCGGTGTTTACCAGGGAATTGGTGGAGGAGTCTCTCAAGGCTACCCAAGGAAGGGAGTTAGCACTTGGGAGTGGCGGCAGCAAAACCAGATCTAAGCTGGTAGTTAAGCTTAGAAGTTTACATGCAGGTCCCCATATCTGTACTCTAAAGTTTAGAGTGGGGAAGGAACCTTGACAACACCAATAGTAACTGGGTATCATTTCATGCAGGATTATAAGAATGACATGATTTTATTACAGAACCATAACTTTTGAACATGAGCAAAACAATTCTTTTGGCATTTTTGCTGCATCGGACATTTAGAAACTTCTGCTTTGTATACCTGTTCACAACGGATTCTTCCCCCCACCCCAAAATATCTGAATTTCCCATAGAATGGGAGTCTCAGCCCTGGTTTATGAGCACAAACTGCCTCTCTCTTTGTCAGTCTCTCCTCTGTCATAGCTTCTTCTATGGCGTCAGCCACCCTTCTTCTTCCACCCCTTGTCAGTGGTCGCTAGTATCTCTTACCCCAAGAGTTCAAAATTTGTAAGTCTGGGCCCACCCAAAATTGTGAGATTGGTGTAAAAATCAGAAGATGTAGAAAGAAAGCCAAACCCCAAAACTACTAGGGTTTGTTTATTCACTGTTTTTTTGAACCTCTAAGGGTCAGTTTCCCAGCTTTCTTTCCCCAAATCCCAAGTCTACAAAGTGACTTTTTTCGACAAAAGCTCAGATTCTCATGGAATCACATGACTCCCGGAGCTCGAGGCTTTAAGAAACAAACCCACCCTCATGAGACATGTCATAAAATGATGTGAGATTTGGGTCACTGAGTCTCCGTGGGGATGTAAATGGCTACATGTAAATGCATGTATGTCCGCTGGACTTAGAGGATGGGGGACTCTATCTGGAGAAGGGCTGACTTTCAGAAAGATTTGGGGGTTGTGGTGGATAATCAGCTGCACATGAACTCCTGGGGCTTGTCTATGCCACAGGCGCTGTAGCTATGTTGCTGTAGCACCACACAATGAAGCTTGAACTCCGTGAGACGTCAGACTTCGTGACATCAGAGCAGTTATAGCCGCTTATGCCACCTGTACCAATGCAAGAGACCAAATCAAATACCTATGCGTTATTTATGGCATTTTAAAACCCATCTCATTATTTTTAATCAAATCTCATGATTTTTAAACCCATCTCACAATCGGCGGGTTGATTTCACGATTGTGAAAGCGATCTCATGGTTTCCAAAGCAGTCTCGTGGCTTTCAAGCTGATCCCATCATTATAAACCAAATCTCATGATTTTTAAAGTCAACCTCTTAATTTTTGAAGCAATCCTGTGAATTTCATGAATTTTGATTCATGACTGCTAAACCAATCTCTCCAGTTTAAACCAATCTCATGATTTTTAAAGGTTTCAGAGCAGCAGTCGTGTTAATCTGTATCCGCAAAAAGAACAGGAGTACTTGTGGCACCTTAGC